AGCCTGTTTCCACCAGTCTTCCAAGGCATCCGCCCTGGACCCCAGCCGCTGAGGCCCAGGGCGGGGTGCGGGCTTGCAGTGGGCACCCCGGTACCGGCGCCGCTATGGGGCCCCCATCGGCCGCAACCTGACACACTGTGGCCCAGAACTGTCCCTTGATTAGCCTCTGCTTGGCCCCTACTGCCCACCGGTGCCTGCCTTTCCCTGGATCCAATTTATTTCTTGAGATTATGCAGTGAAGAATCAATACTCCCAGGGGGGTATAAATTAGGGGTTTGGGATTAAAATATACACACTACTATCTATAAAGTAGATAAGCAACAAGCACCTATTGTATAGCACAGGGAACTCTACTCAGTACCTGTAATAACCTATAATGGAAGAGAATGTAAAAAAAGAATATGTATACCTATAACTGAATCACTTTGCTGTACACCTGAAAGTAACACAATGTTGTAAATCAACTATATATTTTTAAAATAAATTTATTTATTTATTTATTTAGTTTTGGCTGCCTTGGGTCTTCGTTGCTGGGAGCAGGCTTTCTCTAGTTGCAGTGAGCGGGGGCCACCCTTCACTGCAGTGCAAGGGTCTCCCAGTGCGGTGGCCTCCCTCGTTGTGGAGCATGGCCTCTAGGCGCGCAGGCCTCAGTAGTTGTGGTTCGCAGGCTCTAGAGGGCATGCTCAGTAGTTGTGGCGCATGGGCTTAGTTGCTTCGCGGCACGTGGGTTCCCCCAAGACCAGGGCTCGAACCCGTACCCCCGGCACTGGCAGGCAGACTCCCAACCACTGCGTCACCAGGGACGTCCCTCAACTATATTTAAAAACAAATTTTTTTTAAAGAAAAAGAAAAAAGTACTCCCAGGGGTAGAATCCTGCCTCTGTTATCAATTTTTTAACAGTTTAGTGGGAAACATTTAATGACTTTACAATATGACAACCAGCTGGGGTTCAGAGGGGAAGAGAGAAGTATGGGTGATCAATTTCCCAAACTTCGCAGTTTGAATCAAGGTATCTGGAAACAGGAAGTCAATTAGGCCTAACAGAAGAGAGTAGCAAATACTGTTGGCATTCCCAGGTTTGCTGAAGTATGAGATTTCCAGAAGGACATGTTTTCTTTCTTTATAAGTTTCCACGGAATGTGCAGTAGGTCATGCTGGTGGGGCACTGTCTTAAGTTTCCACTTTGCACATCAGCTCTGGAAATTCAGTCCAGAGAGCGAAGGAGTGCCTTTGCCTTTGTCCCTGTTGTTTCACTGACTTTCTGCCTTGGCTTCTCCTTAGGAGAAAGGGAATCCAGAGACAGAATTGTGGTCTTTCTTTTGTCTGCCCCTGAAGCACCTCCAGTTCAGCTCTTTGTTCACGTATTAAAGAAGGTTTCTGATTTGAGAGAGGGGCGGGGGCTTCTAGACCATGCAGTTCATCCTAATAGTTTTTTTTTTTTTTTTTTTTTTTTTTTTT